TTTTTTTAATGCGAGCATCTAAAGAAAAAAAACCCAAAAAGTCTTTTTAAACAAATTCAGGAGTACATTGACTTTTACCTTCTCCCCCTTATACAATGTCAAATTGTCAGAGGCTCACCATTGAGAGATTCAGCAAGCAGAGTCAGAAGTTGGGCTTCGCTCAAAGTGGAATAAGAACAAAGAGTAAAGAGGCTACTTTGCCTCATGAGCGTTTATTTGGCAACGCTTACCATGAGCACCACAGAGTGCTATTCCACAGTTCATGCCTGCCACCAGTAAGGAATACATTCAAACTCAAACCCCACTAGGCACAGTAGAGAGAAAACACTATTAACAAAGTTCATGGTCATTTAAGAGGTCTGTTTATTGGCTGCGGGGTCCGACACTTTCTGCACTGCTGCCATACGCAGAGTCAGCTCCATTTTTGGTGCACAAAGGTTCTCCTTGCTCTTTGTTCAAAGGGCTCAGTACAGCGCCAGCATGATTTTCAACCCATTATCTTTGAATCAACACTGATGATCAATGAGGCCAAAAAAACCCAAAACATGCAACATGTGTTAGTCTCATAAAATTAGGCTGAGAATATTTATATATTTACACAGAGAACGTTCAACATTGTAACCTGCTTGCAGCCTTGTATTATCTCGACCAAGCATCCAAACAGCTACATTCTGGCGTGAAATACTCTTTCATTTAAGGTTTGGTGTAAAAGCTACTTACTTCACAATGCCTTTAACTGGATTCTACCGCACCTATTTTTGACACAGAATTTCTACACAGCAGCGCCACACACTTTCAGTCATACCTCACAAAACAAGATAAGGCATTCACAGATATCTGACTGCTGCGATCACAAGATATCCATTTTCCAGAGCTTTCAGCCATGACCTTAGGAGATCACGAGTGTCTTTGAAGCACGAAGGGCAAGTCTGTAGAGGACGGCCAGTTCTTCCCGAGAACTAGAAATCTGTCATTTCTTGACACTGCTACACGCAACACAGATAGAATTTAAGACTACTGTATTCATTTCCTAAATAAAAATTTGTTCTTAAACCCCACTGCATAACAACAGGGCTTAGGCACTTCTGAAGATTTTATCTTATATCTATCTTTAATAAGGGGAGGCTTTAGACTACAAAATACAGGACAAGCAATCATCTGGAAAGCGAAAAACTAATGACTGGCAAGAAGCAGGTCAATAGTCTAAAAATGTAGACTATTTATGTGGACTTCACATCCAGACAGAATCTCAGTGACCACAGGGGGTTCTGTATATGAAGGTCTGCTGGAAGAAATCTGTCTGCAGAACCACGGATTTCACTTTTAAAATTAAAACTTGGTGTAAGAATATACTTTGGGAAAACCATTTCACTGTGAAAAGTCACTCGTGCAAACAGCGCGCACTGTGCCCAGAAATGGAAAACTGAGTAACAGCAACGCAGAGCCCAACACGCTCAAGCCTTGTAAACAATGAAGACCAGAAGAATAAAAAGAGCAAGAACATGAACCCACACAAACTGGATTAGCCAAGACAGCTGAAAGATTTGTGGCGTTTCTAAAAATGGCTTCTTCTTTTGCAAGGAGACTTGGAACTCACCCTGTGCTAGCTGGCAATAAGAGACCACGATTTCACATATGCGATGGTCTCTAAGGCAGAGCAATAATCTGCTAATACAAAATAATTGATTTAAGAGCTTTCTTAAAAAAACAAAGGCTTTTTACTTGTTAAATGGATAGCAGTGAAAAACCTGTTAAGGGTGAAAAGATTTGCATCCTTGCATTTGACATCTATCAACATACATCATCTATGGACAGTTCAAGTGGTAAGCTTTGATCTCCAGAGGGAGTGAATGGGCAGAAGGATGGAAGAAAATAACTGAGTAATGGGGTACGGTGGGATTCTGTAAATAAATAAAGCTGTTCTGCAAAGCTTCCCAAATTTGTTAACTGTGCTGCTTTATCAAGCATCAACATAATTAACGAAACCCACTGTGCTCCAACAGTTAAGACACTGACAGCCATACAGCCGTTACAGCATGCGGAACACTCCAGTTTATTCCTCAGCAATTATTTAAATGGCCAACAGGGGCTCAAAATGGTTTACTGCTTAAGAGCTACAGAATTAAAACCCCCTCCAAATTAAAAGGGTGAGAGGTTCCTATTAACATTCCTTTTTCTCTTTTTGGTATAGTGCAATAGCATGCTGAGGGCTCAGCTGTTCCCTCTTGACCCAAGCAAAACTTTTATCATCTTCCCTGTCAATCTGTCTATACAAGGATAATACTTTGTAATTTTAAGGGGTTGTTGAAAAGCAGAAAAAAACGTGGAATTTGTTTTCCCCGCTTGATAACAGAAAGTTGGAACCAGGGGCTATACATAAAAGGTCTAAGTCAGTTATTTAGAGAAGGAATAACTGAGAATCTGGCACATCTACTCGTTTCTGAAAAGCACTATTGACATTCAGTAGACTTTTTGACCTCTGTTTTCTATGGATGTCCATCTGGGCATACCTGTAGCCCTTTTCTGCTAAAAAGGTGAGTCTTCAACGTACCTATAGCATATCCACTAACAGGATACAATAAATCAATTGACTTTTTTTAGAACATTTACACTGCAGCCCTTCAAAAACTAAACATCAAAATCCACCCACGTACATGTAACAAAGCAGACGACACCTCCTGCATAATAGATGTGGGATCTGAACTGTACTTTCTGTAACGTTGCCTTTATACTAATGTATTAGTTTCGAATCATTCTTCATTTGCTCTGAAGTCTTACGCAGCAAGATTTGCTCAGTCTTTCAGATCACATGAAATTAAGCTACCTAAATGTAATACACGATACCAAGAAAGCATTACAAATTACTGTCGACTCAGCAGTATCCGGCTACCTACCACTTGGATTTTAATCCAGATACATTTCCTTTTCACATGTGTTATTATTCCTCTGGCTGTTTTGACTGAAAGGTATCAATTGTCACTAGTAGTACAAGTATTAACCCTTTCTCCCTTCCCTCCCCTATGAATATTTAAAGGAAAACCGAGCACTGCTTGGCCCAGCCCAGCAGTATGAAAGTGCAGAATAAGGAGCATCTTGAGAGGCTTCAGAGTAGGACTGGTCTTCCAGCTGAAGAGTGGTTTTATTCTCAGCACGGGCATAGGGAGAATATTTGTAGCGACTGCCATTAGGCACGCTACCTAGGGGTCTCAAGGAAGCACCAAGGCTGCCCAGCAAGTTCCTTGAGAGGGCACCTCAGCTGCTGATTTAGGACTCCACCTCTCCCCTCAGCTTAGGGAGGAAGTCTAGGCACCCGAGTTACATGCTGCAGGTTAGACCGTCTGAAGACCCTCATGCACGCACAAGCGCACGCTCCCATGGAGCAAAGTTCAAAGGCTGCAACGTGAAAAGTGGTAACGACAAAGTGAACTTTTTTCTAATGCTGTTGCAACACATTTGAAGCGAACTAAAAACTGGTCAGTCGTCCCTGTCATGCACTCGTGCTGCCGGTGTTAGAAATGCAATCACTCTGCGCTAAGGTGACTGCTTCCAAGCCTAGCCTCCAACAAAACCAAAAAAACCCCAACTCCTTACCATGCTGGGTTCATCACGTTGGGCTGAATGATAAAGTTAGTCTACCTTTATGCTGAAGTGGAGCTATTCCCATGGAACCTGGCCTGAGGGGAAAAAAAAGCAGAAAGTCCTATTTGAGAGGTTAAGTTGTCAGATGCTATTGAGAGAATAACAACAGAGCACTTTGGGAAAAGCTGGGTACGAGGGAGACAAAGGTCCAGGCTCAGAGCATGTGCCACATTGGTAACTGCAGCAACAGCGTAAGTTTAGGCGCTCAGAGTCTGAAAAGTGACAAAAATGGCACCTTTGCTCTGTCTTTGTGCGTGTACTGGAGTCTCACACGCTCTAAGCGACATGCTACCCCATCCTTTGCTGTGCCAGTTATGCAGTCATAAATAAATTGAAGTATTGACCGGCTCCCGTATCAGAACAGTGAACCAAACTGCAGCAGTCTCAGTAATTAATCATTTAGCTTTCAAATGTCAAGGACAGCAGAGTTTTGCTATTTAGAGAAAGCTGCATTTTACCTGTAAACATAAGGCTTTTTTCCTGAGAGCTCCTGACACACAATTTTCGGACCTCCCGCTAGGCTATTTTTAGTCACTTTTCAGAGCAGAATTACGTTTCAATCTTTTGTCTTTCAAGAAAACTCTCTGTGCTTCGGCATGTAACAGTACAGTCAAACACCACCAGGAGATGAAGAACCTGGGCAAGCTGCCCAACCATTAATCTGCTCCCACGCCCTCCTTGGCTACAAACGCTACCGCAAGGATGACTCTACATACTCTCAAGTCCAGTGCATGCAGGAGGACGTTGGTTATTGGTAAGGTTTTTAGGGTTTTGAGTCCAATTACAGCTTCCTATTTTTCCACTTTAGACTCAAACTTGTATCGACTCAGCTAACAGGGAGAGAGAAGCAGCATTAGTACTGGATATGAACCTCGCCTTTGCTATAGCAGCACATTTTAGCCTTCTTGTCACTGGCTCATTCTCTTAGCCAGTTCTTGAGGATGAAAACGTTGCTGTTCTTTGGTAGATACGGAAATCTGTCAGCAGAGTTCACCTGTCCTAACACCAACACACAAACGAATGGGAACATTTTCAGCCTCTTTTAAGCTCTGACCTGACCCGCTGCACGTACCAAAACGGCGGTGTATCTTTGTAGCATCTTTTTCTTTCCTTTTCCTTCTCTCAGTAGGAAATTGTTCTCTCATCCCTTCAATCCCCACGCGCGCGCACACACACGCTCACGCACACATTATGCCAAACCGACAAGGCGAGTGTACGGGCGAGTCTATGGAGCGACGTTCATTAGTACGTCGCTATGAAATTCTCAGGTTGTTTCTCTCAAAGAATATAAAGTTTAACACATTCTGTACATATTGTTGGTTTCTTAGTTATAAAGTAAACACAGTAACAAACTGTCCGTAAAGCGCTGACTTGTTTCAAACGCGGCCCCTTCTTGTTTTGTCTTGCTGAAAGTCCTCTTCCAGTCAGAAACACTCAAGCGATGTACTGCACGTGTGCATACGGTGTATGACAGCAGAGGAAGGAAGAAAGAGGCACTTTGATCGGCTGGTATTCTTGGACTTCCCTTTTTCCTGCGGAGGTTTATGTTCCTGACACTAGATGGTAGTGTTAGCACAGAAAACCGCTGTGGTTAGGCACTTGGCAACAAGGCTCCAAGGCAGTGCCCGCTCTCTGCTATGTCATCAGAATTGGTTTCTGCCGCACTTCCAGGATATCTGGGCAAGGGAGAGAAACAAAGAGATACGGCAAACTTAGGAGGCTCCTGAAAATAGCCACTGCACCAGAAAGCATGAAGAACCGGAGATGCAGTTGTGTTATGCTGCTAAATGAATTTTAACCACAATGAGTGTACGACTGTGCTTATTAACTACGTCCAACTTAATTCCTCCCCAGCTGTATCCTAGTTGAGAGATGGTAAGCCATGAATATATCCCATCACGTAGAGATGACAGCTGATCTACTAAGTATCATTTATCGTGGGATGAAGCAACATGTGTCAGAGTGGCATAATCTTCCTGAGAAGCAAGAGGAACTGCCGTTACAGGAGATGGCGAAGGTTTTCCCTTTCTTGAAGGGAAAAATGCACCATCCCCAAGACCCTTAGAGAGACTTTTGGCTCTGAAGGTGTGGGCACAAATAATTCAACTGTTTCATCCATTCTACAGCCCGAAGCCTACACTTCTGTACTCAAAAAGCTGCCACAAAACCCGCTCCTTTTGTTGACTCCTCAGCTCCATATTGTCCAAATGTGACAGAACATGAACCTATAAAATATCTGTCATAATCACGGGAATCTTTCCAAATGTGGACAGTAAACCCAGCGTGCTGGCACAGCAGTACGTAGAAATAATCTGGAAACTGGGCTGCTCTGTCCTTTTCAAGGCTACACAGAGAGTAAAGAACATGGGGAAAGGGAGCACATGCTTAATTAAGAGGCTGATCACACACGGCTGCACAAGGAGGATGACGTGAGTAAAAATTGATCTACAGCTCCAGAGGGCTCTAGCCACACTTGTAAAGAATGAAACACAGTGGAGTGAGTCCAGTAAACGGCCACAAAGATGATTTAGGGATCGCAGCACCTGACCTACGAGGAGAGGCTGAGAGAACTGGGATTATCTAGCATGGAGAGAAGGCTCAGAGCGAAGGAAGTCCTATCAATATGTATAAACTCCAGACATTTTAAAATGCACTTTGATGAATAGCACTAGGATTTTAATTTCTTAGCACCAGCTTCCTAAACTACCCAAGGGAGATGAGCATCTTTCCCACTTCACCCTGCCCCACGTGTAACGTTCCCGCTTGCTGGAAAGCTGCCACTGGCGCAAATACATTAGTTACAAAAAGGCACTGGAAACGGGCTCCACCTGATGTGCCAAGCAAAAGCAAACACGGGTAGTGAAAAACTGCAGATTAAAATTCTGCCTTACAGCCCAGACATTTCATACCCTATTTCTGTGCATCTCAATATATACATTGACTCCTGCAACTGCATGTTAAACAATTTAAGTCTCAGAAAGGATGTTCAAGCTCAAAGCAAATATTTGAGCATGGAGGCATTTATGCCACCCACTTGAGCAAGTATTAAATGCCAGCAGGAACAATACATCTTCTGTGAACTCCTCAATGCCTGTGGTGAGAGAGTGAGCGAGCTGGAAAACTCCTGCTAACTAGCTATAAGATTATCAACACAATTATCATATGGAATAATTACGTATCTTGCTGAAACATTGTTTAAAATCCACCCTTAATTACAGAGGATCATTTTCTACTGGAATCCCTAGTTTCTTCTAAATTAAAATCAGTACCTACATACAGTGAAAGGGCAAATGTAGAAATACCTCTTTGCTAAGTATAATTTCCACCTCTACCTTATCAGCTACAATTTCCTTCTCTGTGGAGTAAGAGTCAGCAAACTTTTGCAGCAGGCTCCGAGATCACAGCCTGCAAATGAGAAGACTGCAGCTATTACTGTTACGCTAGCACCATACAACTGATGACATACTGATACCCACACTATCTTCTCATCTCTTTTAGCAGCAGATTAACCTGTTTAACAACAGATTTCCCAACTCCTTTCCTCTTAGCTACCTTTCAGGAATAGTCTGGAAATAACCACTGTGTAACTGAATGGTTTTGTTTTCAGGTGCGTTCTCTTTTGAGATCCAGACAAGAAAAAGTAGGTACTGATAAAAAGCCCACAATTCAGACAAACCTATTCAGAAGTCATCCCATCTGCTGGGTGGGAAGAGAAGGAAAAAGATGAAGTTCTTAGAGGAAGTAACAGTTATAAGGATCTTCCAAGGTTAGAGACAGGACTTTGCGTTGCTCTGGGATCATCACACGATTCTGGTCTAGATTTTGGAGTTGAGCAATAGTTTTGCCTAAGATACTGCTGGGCAGCTGGATCAAACTTTCTTTCTGCCCACGGTGGTCAACGAGAAGGCATCTCAGGGCTTCACTTTGGAAGAATGAAGAAAACTGATAGCAACACTAGTAATGTCTATTTGAAAGAAACTGCCACTGCATTTAGACAGAGGAGACAGTCCTTAACGACTGCTGCTTTCTCAGTTTTCAGACGTTATCTCAAGAGTCCCACAGGCACCCTCATACTGCAAGCTGCATCCCTGAAAGGCTGGCAGGCTTGCTGATGGATAGAGTTCAAACAGACCAGTTGTCTTCTCTAGTCCACCTGTATTTGTAGGCAGACAAGAGTTACCTGGATGAAAATCAAAACTTCAGTACTGCTGCAGATTGTAAACCCCAACTTATTGTGCTATCCTAGCCCAGCTGAACAAATACAGACTTGGCTGTCATCAATGTAGTAATTGGCATAGCTAGACCAACAACATGGGGGACTGATTATTCACGGCAGAACACACAAACGTCATTATGCCTAGTTAAAGACACTGGATACTTGACAGACTTATGGGCATCAGTGTAGGCACTCTGATCAGTATAAGCAACTTATATGGAAACAAAATCTAAGAATACAAACAAAATTGGCAGAGGAGGTCACTCCAAATTTCCGAGCTGCCTTTCTGTAACCCTCTCAGTCACAGGTCTCTGCTACAACTATTGCTGTCAGTGGATGGGCTCACAATGAGTTGCCTTGCACGCACGAGACGGATGAAGTTTGAATTCCAGTATGAAAGCAACTAGTGTTCCTCTGGAAGTCTGTTAGAACAATCTTACCGACTTGTTTGAATCATCGTCCGGCCCAAAGCCGGAGAACAGGTTGACACCATTCCATGTGTTCACACTGATTTGCTGCTACGGTATTTCCCTTGCAGAGAAATACTTGTTCTTCTATCTTAACAGCAAAATCCCATGACACAGAAGGCTGTCTTGGAATGAAAGGCCTCTCTGTTTATACATAATACACATTAAAATTCACCTGTTAAAATTCGATGCAATGGCAAAGTGATGTAAGTTAAGTGTGCATAGAGTAGAAAGTTTTCATCTGTTCTGTTCAGCTTCAGCCAGGAGCCCACCAGAGACCGTCCTGTTCCAGATAAGGACCGCGACCTCAGATTTGTTGCGTTGTGCAGATCTGTAAAGGTAGATGACAGCAAGCTTAAAGCGATTGTACTTCCTGTGTTGTATTGGACCCAATGAAAGCTTCCGAAAGTCAAAAAAGGAAGAGCCTACTTTTCATTGCCTAGAGAGAAATCACATGCAGGCCGCTATCATTACTAGTTTTATTTTTTTAAAAGTACTTGCCGAGCACAGAATTCACCATTTACATTGAAGCTAATGAAGTATAGCAGCAGCTGGTAGCAGTAGTAAACCATTATCCACCAATAGACCAGCCACGAGACGGAATGAAGCCTTTGCTCCCACACTGCACAAGCAGAATCCTAACTCAGCCTTCCTTCACATGCAAAATAATAGAATATCCCCACAATTAAGTAGTTACACTTGTGAATTTCTGCATGAGTAATAGAAGGAAAATTGCAGCTTATGAAGAAAATTGACATCCACAAGACAGGGAGAGAGTCAGTGTTAATAAGCCTGTTTACTGCAGATTTCCATACATCCCAAAGCCAAACCCGGGACCCTTCAGCAGTGCCATTTTTCCCATCATTAGTTTAGAGGTTCACAAGTAACTTTTAAAACAAAAGGATACTGAATCCCTTGTAGGCTAGAGGTGGTTTTTATAGCTGCAGGCCTCTCCCACAGCCAGGAATTCACAAGCCATGTATTTTGAGTGTTTCTAAACTTTCCCTCCACTCCCCTGTAAAACTCAGCTCTGTCCCACAGTACCAAAATCAGATGTTGAAGTGAACCCAATAATTCTGATCCAGAGCGATTCAAGCTCTGGGACTCAATTGTTTAAAAGCGGGTCCTGATCCACGCAAAGAGGCCCTAGCAAAGGAAAAATACGTAGTGGCAGCTACGCTAGCAAGATGCATAACAATGTGGGAGGGGAAAAAATAAAACCCGTCTGTATCTTGCTTTCCCTCCTTCCCTGTAAATGTCTACAGCCGAGCAGTCTCTTCCCTCTCCCCACACATGACCACTATGCCAAGAGCACTGTGGTGATCAGGTCAGAAGGACCTGGCTCCGGTAGCTGGAGTAAGTACAATTCTTCTGCTGTGTCATGTTTGTACACGGCAAAAGCAAGTGAAGTGAGCCCTCATGGGCTGTTCCTGTCCGTGGCAGGTCTGTCTGCACTGGGGACAGGTCTGCGGCACCACTGACCAGACCGAGGACGCTGCTGATTTTTAGGCAAGCAAGTTATTCTCCACGCACGAGGCCAAGACGCCCCAGAATATCTCTGGTTCTACAGAACCCCATCACTGGGTGAACTGAAGTCAGCTTTCCCACTCCAAAAGTGGGAGAATTTCACCACCACGGCTCCTGAGCAAACACTGGTAGGACACTCAGGTTTCTGAAATTTGTAAAGAAATCTCGGTTTAGTTACTTCTCCTTGTAGAAACCTCATCTTTGAATAAATTAAACTTCCTAGTATAAGCTGTTAAAATATTCCTCTATTTACGTTTAGGACCGGGAACAATAAGGTCAAAACACTTATAACTAGGAGAAACCACAGTTCTTGTTATTTTATATGTGTGCTATAAAATGTCTGGAAAACCTAGAATTTGTTTACTTCCAGAAATACATTAGAAGGAAAAGAAGAAGAAAGTAATAAGAATGTTCATTATTATGATTAAGTATGCTAGGATCGGGCTCTGCAAAACAATACTGAGCAGACACCACCACCACCTATAAGGGCTGCCAGATAAATAAATAGCTTGAACTCCATTCTATTCCTGTGCAACCTCCAGGAGGAAGATACCAAAAGTAGGACTCCATCTGGGAAAGCTGCCCTTCTCCCCACACTACATAGTAATTGACCAAAACCCTACCCTCTGTCTAGCAAAACACACAAAAAAACCACATCTCATTTGAAACAACAGACATGTTGACTAGGCAAATTAAGGAAAAAGAGACGAGGAAATGTTTCTATTGATGGACCCTGAATTAGTTACAACCAGTTTAAGTTGCACAGAATTTGAATTAAACATTATCACTTCAGCTTGTTTTTTAATGTGCAATTCTTTATTAGCTAAGTTGGTCCAGTATCGCTGATGGGTAATAATTTTGCTACTACAAACAGAACTTGTGATCTGGAAATCACCTTTGTGTTTATCTATTAGCATGCCAACAGACAGTTAGATGGGGTTTTTTTGGCTTTTCTACTGAATTGTTTTTAAACGTATGACGAGCAGTTTGGATTTTGACATTTGTGAGCTTCCCACCTAATGAAACTGTGTTATGACTGGATTTAGACACTATATTCTGAACCACACTCAATTTTTTATCCTGTTGGTTGTTACATACTGAGTAACTAGAATTCAAAGGAAGAGTTCCACAAGGTGTTAAACCATTATATAAACAAATTTCATCAGGTTTTCTTTTTAGGGAGCTGAGAACTGATCTAAAGCCAGTTGAAGTAAATGCCTTTTCACCAACTCTAACCAACTGTGGATCAAATCAGGGAATTCAGAGAACTCATCCATGAGAGCATGCTCTACCCCACTATATTGGGACACCTGGAAAAGTGCCACCTGAGAGTGTTGTGTCTGGGAAAGGAGGAGGATCTTTCCTGCTCAAGTTTCTCTCAAATGGGTCTATATAAAAGGGGGAGAAGTTTTAAACATATGTATGAATTGTTGGTCTCCAGCCTTCAAAAAGATGCTAAGTCTGTGAATAACCTCATTTTCAGAGTGGCACTGGCATTGGACTTTCTGCGGAGCTAGGTTTTTCACACTGCAAACCTTTTGGAAAATCTGGCATTGGGATCCCCTTCCATAGCTCTGTGCCCTCTCCAGACAAGTCTGTGTAGCTGATATTATTTCTCTCACCTCCACCATCATCATCTCTGAAGAACTCCTCGCTGTCATTTGCTGAGTGGGATTTTTTCATCTCAGCAATTCGATTTCGGGGCACTTTTCTCTTGAGGGACGGGGAGAAAAAGGATGGGCGATTGTTGCGTTCTGGGGTTGGCGGTGTGCTGAAAGAAGTGACCTGAAAGGGAAACAGAGGAAATGCTAGAGAAAGTTTTGTTTAAAAAGTTCTATGCTTCTAGTAAGAAATAATCAGTCTCAAATATGTGCCATGAGGCAGTCACATGTGTAAAAATCAGAATCATGACTGGTGTCTAGCTGTAAGTTTCATCAGAGCGGTCAGAGAATGTGAACTGAACAGTCAGCTTCAAGATGCTCATCAAGATGAAAATATTTTGATATATCATCACCCTCAACTGTTATGTGAATAATGAGAAACCTCTCTCCTCAGCTGATCACTTCTAACAAGGATTTATAGTCATAAAGAACAAAATTAATAATTTAGACGCCAAGAATGTCAATCTTATTTTTGCATGTTGAAATTCAGAAGACTTAATAGGCTATCAATGTATTGTATTGGACACACTAAAATTGTGCATCTTCATTTCTTCAGCAAACACAAGGTAGCCATTTCCCTGCTTAGAAGGATGCCACGTGGGATCACTGTGAAAGGTCACAGTGTCTCTGTGAAGTGGGGTCACAAGGCAATTACTTAGCCCAAGATGCTGACACAAAAGTGAAGTAAATGTAGAATTATATGTATATCATATTTCAATACAGGATGGAGAAAAACAAGTTGAGATGTCCCTGATGATTTGGTTAGTCTAAATGATGACAAATACAAGGACATAATTGTCTATGGTGAAACACAGGTTAGGGATGAAACTATAGAGACACCCTTCCTTCAAAGCAGTAGTTGCTTTTGAGTAAACCACAATTATAGCCTACCATACCTATTTCAGAAAGAATTGAAATGCAGCGCTTATGTACTGGTTTTGCTAGTAATATTTTAATAGTTTCATTTCAAATGGATAAAAAAATAGGGATAACTACTTTGCTAATGGAGGTAACTTCTATTTCATCCTTCACACAGTTAATTTAACAATCCTATAACTCTCCCTGAGATGGCACCTGATATTGCTCCTATATGTCCAGACAAATAAAGAGGCAGGTCACGTGTGAGTGAGGATGACAGCCAAGCCAGGTTGCTGTTGTACTGCAAAAACACTCTATGTCATCCCTCTATCATTAATGTTAAAAAAAAAATAAAAAAAAGCGCAGAAGTATTCTACCACCCAACTGATCCTCTCTTTAGTGTACTTGATCTCTAACTTGTGCTTGCCTCTATTTTTAATTTTGTAGCCATTTCAAATCAAACCTGGAGACAAAACCAGAAACAAATCACCATTAAAACCATTAGCAAAAAGCAATGATAATACATTATCAACTATATTTTTTGACATGTTCCAGTTGACATTGGAAGTCTTGGAGCCAAAAGATCAGGAAGTCCCTCCAGGCCTGATTTCTCCAGGTTGAATCTCTATGATAGAGAGCAAGCACATCCAGTTATGAGTTCTGTGCTGGCAGCTCATTTTGTTCTTTAGAAAGCCAGAAACAAACACAAAAAAATCACACAGCTTGCATGGAGACATTTAGAGGCAGTCCTACAGACTTTTAAACTACACAGGTCACCTCCGTTACACAGGAAACCAGACAGGAATCCATCAGGAAACATGCAGCCCATGTCAGGACACATCTGTGCAGGTATTTTGCAGATGTGTTGCCTAATCCCCATTAACTAGGTAAAATGCGTTAATGGAAAACAAGGACTGAGTAAGGGCCAAATCAGTATCTATGGACTGAATCTATTGGTATTTTACTGCACTTGTATTAAAATTAAGCATATGCATAAATACGGTACTGCACCTAGATCCGTAACCTTTGCTTTAATACTATACAGGCTTCATATTGGCAGCATTCATCAGTGGCAAAATCTCGTAACAGTACCATTTCCTGCAAGGCTTAGCAAGCAACCTACGTAATACACAAATTCCACATTTCTAGGTAAATCCCATCTTGTACAGAAATGGCATCTATTAATTTTCACAGAAAACAGGCAGAATCATCATTTTCCCTGGCATCAACATCGCTGCTGTTTCAACAAAACACTCCTCCAGAAGTATGAATCATCCAGTCATCTCTGTATTCAGTATTTGCTCAAGGGAAACTGTGCTAAAAATCCATCTGCATATACTGAGTATGTTCAAAATATACACGGGCAAACCTAAGTTCAGAACCTTGATGTGAATTAATCCCAGCTTCGTCTGCTGGCTTTGAAATAAAACATGTTCATGCTTAACTTAAGTCAGTATTTCTGTCTGCTACTTACTCTCTCATGCACTGGGGATTCTGGATTTGAATCTTCCTCTGTCCCATAGGGTGAAGTGTCACCAGTAGAAACTCTACTCACTGCCATCTCCGCGTGTCCTTTCCCTTGTGGCCCTTTCATTCGGACAAACTCCATGTTGTTATATTTATAAAAGCCAAAAGACATTCTTTGAGCCATCTTAGCTGCAACACTCACCTACAAGGCATCAAGAAAGGAGAGAAAATCATGTAATATCATCTCTATGTTTCAATAAACAACGTCCTCTGAAAGCAATTATCTAAGAATAAGTCAAAAACATAGTGGATAATGATCATTATCTTGATTCTTAGGAAGCTTTTTAAGCCATGATCTGAAGTGATCCCCAAAAGGGAAGCAATTTTACAGATACAAAAAACAGAGGCTCAGAGAAGAATCAACTCCTTCAGCTATCCAAAATGCAGAGTTACCCAATGACATGCTGAGATAAAACAAAAGGTTTTTATCCAGACCCACACAACGTGGCACACCAGAGCACAAGCGGGCACGTGCACAACTCAACACAGCCCGTGCAGGGACACTCGTTTGAGCCCAAAAAACCAATAAACGCACACACGAGATGCTTCAAACTAGCAAACCGCACTGCACACTACTTCGTGGCAAGTCAATTCAGACATTTGTGTGTCCACACTGTCAAGGCCAAAGCATAAAGAAGCAGCCCCCACGCACAACTAACCTGCATGGCTCACCGCAAAACCCTGACAGCTTTTGAACCCTCTTAACAGACAGAAGGGCTTAATTTCCAGTTAACACAACTGAACTGAAAACTCAACTGAGAACTGAAAAAAGGAACAGATCAATATGAAAACAGTCAAGGTTTTGCCAGGGGGAAATAAGCAGGACTTATCCATAAGTTTAAGTGTTTTTCCACAATTTTCAGCAGTTTATCACTTGAAAGGGCCACGGTGCTCAACATGTAACACAACTCTTATTGTACTAAGAATACATACAGACACAACTGAAATCAAGTAACCTTCAAAGGCACAGAGAGATCACTTCTGTTAAAAGAATGGCCAAATTTCAAGTTTTGCCTTTGGCCATAATTGAGTATTTGAAGAGCTAACAATTTTATTTCATCTGACAAAACAATGTAAAGTAGCTGTGTGGTCAAACAGGACATTCTGAGGCTATGAGGTGACTTTACCACATCAAATCTTGTCTTTCCACTGCAGGGCTTTCTTCTTATGTTGTCTTTAGTGATTCTGCATTCCCATGTATTTTAATAACCCACCTGCTGATTGCATAAGGCCATGAGATGATGGTGGGTCAGAGAAACAATTTCAGTTTCATGTTCTCTTGAAAAACTGCTAGAAGAGTACAACTACTCACATTTAAAATGAGGGGAAGGGAAATTATTCAGGATGTCTCCTGACAAGGGTAGGAACAAAGGGAAATTAAGTTTACAGTCACAGTAGATATCGTGGGGAATTTGTTTTTTAAAATCTCTCAGGATTGTCTTAATAACAAATTGAGAAGTTTATTGGCTCTTGCAGTCTCTTAACTTCAGTGCTAAGTACTGAATTAGAAGCTGAAAGTGCTGGCATTTCATGTCTCTGTAGGAAAGCAAAGAAAGCTTCTTCCTGTGGCAGTGAAACTACAGTCTTCTGAAAACAGCCATGAGTACAAAACACACTAAAGAAAAACATGTTTTACAGATAGCAAGGTAGTTATCAGAGTTTAAGATCTCCCTGCAAAAGCCTTCTCTGAAGTAACTAGAAATATCTATGACCTTTCAAAAAAACGAGGGGGCTCCCAGAATTCTGTTATTCAGATCCATTCTGGTGCCATGCACTTGACTACTTATCAACTTCACTCCTTTTGGCAAATGCCAGAGTAATATATTGTGATCTGAATACTCCCAGCTGTCTAAGCCAAAAGCATTAGCTTTCAGGTAACTTTCAAAGCCAAAAAAAGACAGACTACGATGCAAATGATCCAACAGGACAAAAAGCTAACAGCCTCAGCAGCAAAAAAAAAAAACAAACCCGTGGTCAGAGAATCGTTGTTGCAAAGGACGTTGTCTTTCAGAAGCACCTTACCCTGTTGTCATAGACCTTCTTGAGTGCTTCATAGCGGATGGACCCCTGAAAAATCACCCCTTGGAAGGTGTTGCTTTTGTCACTGGCCACCAGCTCCACACAGACCATTTCTCCTTCTCCCACAGTCATGTCACTGAAAACCTGCCAAAGATGCAAGATGAAACACTTGAAGGCAAACTGTAGTTGTTAAAGTTCAAATATATCCAGATTCCTATGATTCTCCTTGGGCCCAAGGCAGTTTCAACATAAATGGCAGAAAGCAAAGGAGATGTGTCCTCCACCCCAGCCTTTCAAAAAACCAGACTTCAGGCAGTGTACACTGCAAATCATGTGTTGAGATAAGCAGCTCTCACATCAGCCTGTCTTGCTTTAGTCCATCATAAAGATGGATGCCAAAATCCAGCTTGAAGCTCAGATTTCAAATATTAAAGAAGGTAAAATAAAATTAAAACTACTGGAAAATAACCCTCAATTAGCCAAGAACACTTGTTCAAACGGCACAAGAAAACCGCTAATCAGGACATACGACTAGAATAGGACAAAACTCTGCTGCTGCGACAAGGAACTCACCTCTTCAAAACTGTCAATCATGAAGAATATGTTGGGGTAGCTGATCTTTGACTCCTCTCCTTTACTGTCCATTGGATGCTTGCTAGGAGATGCAAACACTTGCTGAGAAATATATGGAAAAAAAAACACATCTCAGTTAAATGCGCTCAGGAATGGATGCAATGAATACAAGGCAAGCGATAGCAAAACACCACAGTCCAACACTGCTCGGCCAACATTTTCACTTATGCCAGAGATGCTGGACATCCTGCAGGCAAAGTAGAGCTGGTTTCTGACTACAGCCTGTTCTGCAATAATTATAGAATCATTTTGCTTGGAAAAGACCTTTAAGATCATTAAAATCAACTGTTAACCTAGCACTGCCAAGTCCACCACTAAACCATGTCCCTAAGCACCACATCTATGTGTTTTTTTAATACTTCCAGGGATGGTGACTCAACCACTTCCCTGGGCAGACTGTTCCAGTGATTGACAACTCTTTCAGTGAAGAAATTTTTCCTAATACCCAACCTAAACCTCCCCTGGCACAACTTGAGGCCATTCCCTCTTGTCCTATGGCTTGTTACTTGGGAGAAGAGACCAACCCCCACCTGGCTACAACCTCCTTTCAGGGAGTTGTAGAGAGTGATAAGGTCTCCCCTCAGCCTCCTTTTCCCCAGGCTAAACAACCCCAGTTCCCTCAGCTGCTCCTCATAAGACCTGTTCTCTAGACCCTTCACCAGCTTCGTTGCCCTTCTTTGGACATGCTCCAGCACCTCAACGCCTTTCTTGTAGTGAGGGGCCCAAAACTGAACGCAGTACTTGAGGTACGGCCTCACCAGTGCCGAGTACAGCGGGACGATCACTTCCCTACTCCTGCTGGCCACACTATGTCTGATATAAGCCAGGATGCTGTTGGCCTTTTTGGCCACCTGGGTACACTGCTGGCTCCTATTCAGCCGGCTGTTGACCAACACCCCCAGGTCCTTTTCCTCCAGGCAACTTTCCAGCCACTTTTCCCCAAGCCTGCAGTGTTACCTGGGGTTGTTGTGACCCAAGTGCAGGACCCAGCACTGAGCCTCTTTGAACCTCGTGCAGTTGGCCTTGGACGTCACTGGTGAAATCCTTGAGTTTTCACATGTAAGTTATCAAGTACTGGTTGCTCCACAGTAAACATCCCTGTGTGTACCTGACCTCTCATCATCCTATGGTACAGCTAAGGTATCCTCCTTTTCATTAACAGGGAAAACCACCCTGAGTTGCCTTTAAGTTACTGCAATACGCTGCAAAGTGAAAGCACACACAGCAAGAAAGTTACTGTGGAGTAGCCGACCTAACACTATTTGCTTGTACAGTTAATTTCATTGTTACTGTTTGCTTAGCACCACAATAAAATCAACACCCCTCAGTAATGGGAAGCATGGTCCTCGGAGGACAAGCACTTGGCTTCTGTTTCTTCCTCTATCCACTGTGCTTCCTCTTGCATGTTCCTCCCTCTGAAGCAGTTCCTGAACTCCTTTGGTCATTTCACTCCTTAAAATAACCCATGTTGAAATAGCTAAAGGCTTTATATTTTATCAGTCCAACAAGATTAACAAGCAGGTAAAGAGGGAGAAGAATTCTTACCAGGTAGCTTTCTTTGCTTCCACCTCTGTTTACAAACAAAGCTTTGAATTAAAGAAACCTGTCAAATCTTAGCCCACTGAGAATGTGTTGAAAGCTCTGAACCTGCCCAGATTGTCAGGCTTGGGATACTCTTGCTACAAACCATTCAACACAAAACATGACTAGGGGTAGGATATTAGATATTCATGAGAGCTACTTTTCCTTATTTGTACTTATGAAGCCTACATGCACATTTAAATACAGATTATTAAAAAGAAAGGTTGCTTCATGACAAGAAAACAGCATGAGAAGTTAATAAGACTCCTCAAAGATGACACTTGCAGCAATGCCCGAAACAAGGACATCTTCCAGGCATCCTTGTTCTCATGCTATCCAATGCAAAGCAAAAAAACCCTCAAAACTCATCTCCAGTCAAACACACCTGAGGAAAATACAGTTTGAAGAGATCTTATTGTCAAACCAGCAGAGATTCGATGTAGTCTGCAAAATCATTTAGGGGAAAGTCAGCCTCTTTTTACACAGGTTCCGTGCCTTAGGTACTCTACCAGTATGAACACAGCAGCTTTGTCATAGGTCTGGAGTAGCAAAGTCAGTCCTATGCCTGAATAGAGCTTCTATCTATTCAACATCTGGCTGCACACTGACAGGATAATATACACTTTCTAAAGCAAGAACCATCAAAGCAGTAATATAGACCTAAAAAACCTGGCTTTTGTTCAATTAAAACGAAGAGCCTCAATGGTGCATGTTACAATAAAATGCCCTACTGCAAATCTGCTTTCCGCACTATATGGAATTGCCTTTTCTCCCTCCATAGATCAACTTAATGATGTTGAAATGTTATTAATATGTACTGGTAAGTTTTAACATATGCTGAATTTCTCCTAGAAAAGGGGAGACCAAGAAAAATTGATAAACAGTCCCACAGTACAAGCCTCTAGGCATGAGGAACAAGAAACCTCCTCCTCATTCTGAAAACTGCTCGCACACAGTGAGGGCAGGTCCCTCCATCCTCATCTTCCTAGTTTTCAAATCCGCAAGTAATATTTACAGATTTTTCTCAAAAGAATTTTGCAGAAGTTAACTGAGGGTGAAATTTGGACTAGTGAACAGTGGAAAAAGCACTAAGAAGTAAAAGGCTTACATCAGTGGTGTAATATGGTGTCTCTAGGAGGAGGGAATTATGCGTCTGACTAATGCAAATTACGAATAAAACAATCAGCATCGCTAGTTTTGTTTGTAAGCAAAGCAACATCTGTTTTAAAATGGTAAAACAAAATTAAAGGATTAAAGAGCATCGGGTTTTTTTAGGTAAAGCCATGCAGGCAACTGAATGAGTGAAAGGCATGGAAATGCCTGGGAGAAACAGCCTTTTAAAGGCAACAGGAGCCTTTAGAAAGAGAATCTCTGCCAACTGGGAGAAGTTGTTGCAAGATCTGCTGGAAACTGAGTGAAGTCTAGGGTTCCTTGTTCCTATCCCCTCCATGCTTATTATTCAGTATCCTCCACTATGCTAAACCCTGGATTAACTGTGTGCTGCACACAAGCAAGTGATAAAAGCCTTCGGTGTGGAGATGGAAGGAATGAGCAGTTTAAAAGAGAAAACAAGAATCTCAAAATAAAAAGAAAAACTGGTAATCAGTAAATTGTCTACCATTTAATAGCCCTACATTACAGATTTACCCCGAAGGCTCCTTGTAACTCAGGTCTCGTACAATTTCAGGTTTTTCCCTCAGATTGGTTAACAGTTGGACATACTCCCCGCTCCAGCATCACCACCCCCGAATCCAGCAGGCAAAGATGTAAGTCTTGAAAGCATGCAGAGGCCTTTACAATTTTTTGACAGAGGCTATAAAAGACATTTAGATCTCAAATTTAGATGACTGGCAGGAAGTGGCACTAGACAAAGACTTCAGATGCTTCACAAGGATACCTCTGTCAGAGCACAGCCTGAGAATCACTGCCCTGGTTTTGATACAGTTTTTAGCATGAGGTAATACTGGATGCCAACCTCTTATCCACAGTAATAACAGGGTAATCTCACCTGAGATTTCTTCTTGTGAATGTGAATATCTCCTCCATCAGAGCGTGTGCACACAGCACATGTCACCACATAATCCAGCTAAAACAAGGCAGCAGATAGAGAAATAAAGGTTTAGAGTTAGAAAAAACAAGCATTCATGTGAATGAAGCAGAACACATTCTGTCTTAATTTTTTTTTAGCTATCTGGCTAAAAAAGTAAGATGTTTTGGTATTGCCGTTTGCTTTATTCTCTTTACTATACTGAAACTCCTACAACTTTCAATCCTGTGTTTGTTTATTAATTCAGTGATACTGAAATCTTTTGCACAGATGCTTGCTGAAGTACACAACTTATGGATAAAGAAACTCCTGTCAAGATTGTATAACACTAGCTTACTCATCAGCTGGGGGAATACGCATGACATGAACACATAAGCAGACTTTAAGGTAGAAATGGAAAAGAGATCCTTCCTTCGAAAAGGGAAAAATAGAAACACTAATGAACACAACCAACACATTAGAGAGGTCAGAAACTGTTAACGTAGCCTTACAAACAACCAGAAAAAAAACATCTGTCCTGGTTTTGGCTGGGATAGAGGTAATTTTCTTCCTAGTAGCCATTACAATCCTGTGTTTTGGATTTTGTATGAAAATAATGTTGATAACGCACTAAGGTTTAGTTATTGCTAAGCAGTGTCAAGGACTTCTCAGCTTCCCAGGCCCTGCCAGCAAGGACGTATAAGCCTTCTGCAGGAAGTGCACAAGAATCTGGGAGAGCACAGCCAGGACAGCTGACCCAAACAGATATTTCCATACCATATGATATCATGCTCTGGATATAAGCTGGGGGGACAGTTGGTTGGGGAGGGCCGCGGCTCAGGACTTAGTTGGGCACTGGTCAGCAGCCGGTGAGCAATTGTGCTGTGCATCACTTGTTTTGCATATTTTTTAATCATCATCATCATCTTCCTTTTCTGTCCTATTAAACTGTCTTCATCTCAACCCACGAGTTTTACTGTTTTTTGATTCTCTCCCCCATCCCACTGGGGGGTGGATGAGCGAACGGCTGCGCAGTTGCTTTAGCTGCCTGACAGGTTCATCCACAACAAACTTGTAAGGAGCAAGCATGATAGCTCTGGACAGCAGTGCCCAGCTGTAACAGCATGTCTGCATCCTGACTGCAGCAAATGGATTCTGGTTTTATTCAGCATCAACTAAAGGCAGAAACTGCTCTCTGCAGAAAAGTTCTGCAACAAGACTTTTGGGAGGAAGGAGAGAGGATGAAAACAATTTATTTTCCAGGATGTGTGCAATGACCCAGCAGTTTCTCATTCTCAGATCATAATCAGCAAAACTTTTACGGCATCTCAAATGACTACAGTAATATTCAGCTTCCCTAAGCGCCAATGTAACATATGCAATAACTAAACAAGCTATGAGTTAATTAAAGAAATAATTTCCGCTAGCTTCATGTTTTCACCACCAGTTTTATTAAAGTTCTGATGTCAAGAGCAGCAAAATCCCAGTGTAATACATAACACCTTTACTGGATTTCCATTTAGCAGTTCCCTCTCTTAGCTGCACCAGTATTGTGAACTCTAATGGTAATGTTGCTTGTCTAACAGTCTCGTTCACTCTCAAAAACTATTAAACCTGACAAAGCCTTCCATTTTGCAAAACTTTGTTGCGGAGTATAAAATTCAGTCCAGCTTCACTGGATATATATAAAGTTTTTTCAGGAAAGCTATTAGGACTATACTGAAAAATAATAAACATCTCAGTTTATGTTCATTTAGACTCTGAAAGGTATAATTAAAGCCCTGATTTCTTTATATCCTCCATAAACGTTCAAATCCTCCAGGCCAGGGAGGAAAGGGGACAGATAAAAGCCTACCCTGAAACTTCTCTAGCATAAATAGCCCATAAAAATTAGATAAGCATCACTGTTACCTTCTGTAAGATGAGGTTCAAGTAGACACTCTCTTCCCAGTCAATGTCGGGGTCTCCCAGGCCAGGAAGCTTCTTAGAATCTCTCCGGTAAACTTCAACTTCAACCTGCTAAGAAAATATCAGATCTCCTTGAAAAATATTACTTAAAGGTACTTATATGCAAACGTAAAATTGACACCATAGCTTCCTGCTAGATTTTTCTGTCAGGGTTCGATTTTGCTGACCATGCAAGGTCAGCCCTTGTGAAAGGCTTTGGGTGGAAGTGAAGCTGGGAGGACAGGGGATGTGAAGGGGGAGAGGGGATGTGAAGGAGAACAGGCGAGAGAGGCAGGTCTGTGCAGAGGAATCTCAGTTTTGGACAGCAGCTTCATTTATTCCTTATAACTGGGGCATTTTAGCCAAAAGGAAATGAATAAAATAAGGGATACGCACACATATGTATTTCTCTTAACCCAACCCCTCAGAACGAAACATGTCTCTAGGCTAATGCTCAACATCGCCTACCAGGTAGCTTGTCCCCCATTGGGGTGGGAGTCTCTAGGAAGACGAAGTCCACTATTTAATGCCTCAGAGAGGCCATTTTGGTAATCCCACTTCTAAAGGTTTCACACTGACAGTACTGATTGGACCCAACTACATGTGAGATTTCCAGCTGTACTAAAAACAAGCAAATGACAAATCCCAAATAATCTCAGAAAGCAAAACCAACTCTACCAATGCTAACAAACTGAAGCAATTGAGATCAATATAAAATGTGACTTGATGTAGTACACAGAGTTGAACAGTAGTCTGACACTTTAAAAAACCATCAGCAGCACGGCTTAATCTCTGAACTGGTGCGTAATACAGAATAGGGTGACTAGTAGCGCACACAACAGATGTCCACGCTACGCACTATTTTGACAGCAAAACTAGAAAAGCATTTGGTTTTGTTTGTCAAAAGTATCTTTTTTTGTTAATACAGTAACATACTTTAAGAGATGTTTAAGAAATATCTGAAATACTGTGACCAGTCGACACAGCTGTAGACAAGGCAATTCATGAACTTTTTTTTCCTTTGGTTGGGGCAGAGAAAGAAGGGTAGAGCCAATTTGTTAGAAACCACTGCCATAAAAGTCAGAATACATAAATTAAATCAAATAGAGTAAGATTAAGCCCTATAGCAACTGCATGTATTTCAACTCCTCTGGGAAGGATAAAGCTACAAGACCAAAATATAGTGAAGAACAGTGAAACAGTACAATATTTCAGGACTGACACTATCATCAGATACCATGAAAGCCAAATGCACCGTTTCCTGTCTTTCATTTTTTAACTTAAAAATATCTTTTTTAAATGCCCATAGACTCATACATCATCATTCCTTTGTTTTGTTTTTATTTCTTCTAAAGCTCCTAACAATGAATTTTTCTATTGGCAATATAATTGCACAAACTAATGAAAGTTACTCTAAAAAATAAGACTTGAGCAGCTGAGGGAAATAATCTAATTTAAATTCGTCTCCCAATAAACAAAGGTGATATTTGCACTTTCATGCCTAAAAGCACAGAAGCATCACATTTGCAGGATTCCAGAAATACCCTGTAGAACAAAAGCCATCCTGCCTCTGAAGGAAAGATGTGACGAGAGGAGGAAAGATGTGACAAAAGGACCGGGTGAAGGCAGGACTGAATAACTGCATGGTAAAACTCCAGCTCTAACTAACGCCGAGGTAAGCAAGGCCAAGTGCTCAGCCGACACCACCTCAGTCTCGTCTGCCTCCATACCCATGGAGCCTTTATTTTAATCCAGGCAGAGTTTAATCGTCTCTTACCAATAAAGTTTAAACGTCCCTTTGCAGAAGTCTGTCACTCACCTTTTCTGCCGGTGAAATTAATCCACACATTGAACTACTTCTCCCCAGCAATTACAAAGCCATTGCACAACAACTCTTTCATAGAATGCTCCCCCCACAACTCCATCTCAGATAATGACGGAAAGAGGACCTTTCTTTAATCACTTTTTCCCTATGCATTAACTTAACGTAGGATTCCCGGGCAGTAAAACCTGTGGGTTAGGGCACGGTAGATCACCGTGAATCACCACCATGGCTGTTCCTCGAGCTAACTGCTTAAGCCACACTGTATTCCAAAGGAAATTAATTTAAGGAATTTAAGGAATTCAATTTTTTGCCAGGCAATACGCTGCATGAGGTACAGATCTCTGTTCAACAGGTCAAATCAGGCAGGACAGGAACAACCTCTTCCCAGAGAGAAAGGAGTCAGCAGCAGTCAGAAGCGACAGAGGCACACTCATCTGACCTCAGAAAGACAAAATATGGACTTTCAAATGCTCTCCACGGCACTAGCATCTGCTGGATGCATTTTTGCAGCTCCTGCTCATGCCCAGGTAAGTGTCCTTGCTGAGCGTCAGGGGAACGAACCAGCCCTACCCAGCACCAGGGCAGTAGTTATGCCAAGAAGCCAGCGTTTGCTACGGCAGCCAGTAGTTTCGGATGCCTTACTTCCCGCACCACTGGGGACCTGCTTTATAAAACACAATGAGCTCTGGCCAGGATGCTATAACGAGCAGCACCATCACTCCCCGTCTGACTGGTAATACACTTCACAGTGCAGGCACCCAAATTACAAGTCGCTTTTGAAAAAAAATAATCTCACCCCTTATCTCAAACACCTCTATATCTGCAACATCTCTTTTACTCATTTCTAAACAATTCTTCCAGAAATAGCAAAAAGGTGTCCATAAAGCACCTCGGCATAAAGCAAAGTGCTAAATCTGGGTTGGACAAAACAAACAGCACTTTCCAGGGGCTCAATTTCCTGTTCAAGTGCTGTAGCTCACAAATTAATCTCAGCTCACAAATTAATCTCAGCTACCCTCTACTGCCACAGTGCTGGACATGTGAAGGTGGCCATGTGATATTATGTGAAATAAATCAACAGGTTCAGTTTAACTCATAGCAAATGATCCCAGTGTCGCTAGCACACTGTGGAATCTCAGGTGCCAAGGACGTAGGAAAGACTGGGGCTGACTCCATTCAGACCCTCCAGCCACTTGTTCAGCATTAGCCAATAAAGAAGGCATTAAAAAAAAAAATTTAAAACCCCACAACTCATATAAAGAACTTTGAACGCAAATTTTCACTGTTCCATACATTTTAATGACTATATTGGTTAAAATCAGCAATCAAAATTTCTTGGCAGGCTGACCTAATTTGTCCATGTCCCAAGGCACCTTGCTCAGCATCTGTATGCCTATCTTCCTGGTACTACATACAGGCACCATATATGCCAAGAACTTAAAATCAAAACCTGAGGCCTCTGAGAGTGCCATTACTCAAAAGAACTGTAGTTGTTAGATCACTAAATACTGTAGAAGTAGCTACCTTAGCTGTCAGCAAGGGATTTTCTTCATTTAAGTCCCAATCCAAAAACCAAGAAGTACTAACCTTGTATATTTAAGTGAATCATTTCAAGTGCATGTAGGCATGTGGGATTGACAGTATGGGAAACAGAAGACCTCTCAGTGCTCAGACATCAAATAGACATGCTGTCAAAATCTCAATGAATTCCCAGTAATAGAAACCATTACATGAGTTTAGGGAAGTAAGTGTTGCCAGTGCTGAGCACAGCACTTCCTAAATGAAGAGAAACACCTGCCTTAGAGAAGTGTTGCCTTATATTTACATAGAAATCACATGGTAAATATGAGCCTAATTTTTTTACATATATAAATAACATATA